ACCCTTATGTGTACTCAACTGTCCGCCGGTCCGTCTTTTTTTCTTCTCGTCTTTATTTCAATATGACATCTGGATATTTTGTATGTTATAATAACCTGATATTGTACATGTACACTTATGTAGTTAACCGTTTTACTAATGAGTTGTAAGGATTAAGTGAATTAATTAATACTATGAAAGGATTACCGATGTTGAGTAAATGCAGGTGTCATACAGGTGTGATTACGGACTGAATTGTAATTAGCACTGACATCCTTGAGCTACAGTTAATTAGGACAATGGGCGGAAATATAGAAACGGTCTACACTTATGTCAGTTGAGAACGGTTTGTTCCCCTTTCTCAAACTTTTTTCCAGATCAAAGGAATTATAGAAACATAGGAAAACAATAGAGGTCTCATTATAATCTGTTCTACTATAGTACCTTTGTAGTACAGGTAAATTAATTATCTGTATTTACCTGTTCACCAATGGGCAATACTGTGTAAGTAAAGTAATATTTAACAAGTGCATTTTCCTTATTAAAAAAAATAGTAATTGGAATTATTAGTAAAAATATAATCAAGATTTCCATTATCATATCATAAAGAAAACACGATGTATATTAATTAAAATGTTTACTTTTACTAACTAAATATTTAACAAATTTACTTATTTTTTATTAAACAATTACATGGATGTAATATACATAGACTATAGAACTAAACTATGGTAGCAATGCATGGCAGAATTAATTACATATGCAACATGATATACTAATATAACAGCACTATGATGAACATGCGAAGGCTGGAAATGAAAATATAAAATTAAATACATATACAACATTAAGGTTATGAAATATATTCACTTTTAATTGTTATCCGACATAGAATAAAAATGATTAGTGATAATTGTTGACTATTTACTCACTACTAATGTGGACACAGGTAATGTGGGAGAACACAGGTAAAAAACCAGGTAAGATATGTATGATACAGACTATAACTGCTATCATCACAAAACTGCCTGTATGTTTTTTTTAAAAAGTGGGAGAAAGGAGAACACACCATTGAGAACAGATCAATGTTGAGTTAACTGTGGCGTTCTATGTTTACTTCACTATAATGACACTTTCATGGTTTCCCAGTGTTTGTGCAAATTCTTTGTTTTGAAAAGGTGAGAGAAAAAGAGCACACCAGTTCAATACGTACTGTATTTAAGATGTTAGCATAGCGACGAAGTTTGTCACATACTGGTATACCGCTCAAGTATCACATTGTTCTGATTCAATTTACTTCAAGTAAGTAACAATTTTTTTTATCACTTGCATACATGTATGTGTACGAGGGGCGTATGCATGACCGAGTGTGCGCAGATATGTCTATGATTTGATCACGGATATAGAAATAGATCTAAATTAGTGGTTTAACGATTGATATGACGATGTTTAATTACCAGATCTAAGTTAGTGGTTTAACGATAGACATGACGATGTTTAATTACCAGGTCTAAATTAGTGGTTTAACGATAGATATGACGATGTTTAATTACCAGATCTAAGTTAGTGGTTTAACGATTGATATGTCGGTGGTTTAACGATAGACATGACGATGTTTAATTACCAGGTCTAAATTAGTGGTTTAACGATAGATATGACGATGTTTAATTACCAGATCTAAGTTAGTGGTTTAACAATTGATATGTCGATGTTTAATTACCAGATCTAAGTTAGTGGTTTAACGATTGATATGTCGATGGTTTAACGATTGATATGCCGATGGTTTAACGATTGATAGGTCGATGGTTTAACGATTGATATGTCGATGTTTAATTACCAGTATTACATTTCGTTTCTATTTACATATATATTATTGTTTGAATAATTTGTGATCACTCACGGAGGGACATAAGAACGTCTATTAGTGTCATTTGAAAAAAAGTAGTTAAAAAGAGTTAGTTATCTCGTTAAAACGCGTGCGATATCTCGTTCGTAACCTTGTATTTCGTTCTAACGTTAATTGTCTTGTTTAAACGCGATCATTATTTCATGTAACAAGATACCCGTCTGTGTGTGTGTGGTTCTTTTTTAATTTTTATTTTCGTCTGTTTTTAGGGCTATTGTTTCGTTACATTTCTTATTATTATTCTTCTTCCGAATTTGTAGGTAACGGTAAGTGATAGGCACACAACCTATATAGTATGCCATGTAAGTACATATGAACTTGTTAATGCCGCATTTTTAAGTAGGTCAAAAATCCTATATGGCCGCCATGACCCAGTTACCAGAAATTCTGAAAACATCAATAACTCGATAACTGGTTTTTTTTTTCGTTTTTCCACAGTTCAATGCAGAATGTAAATCCGATCATTTTAGCGTCTACATTTTTTACGTTTTGCGTCATTTTTATAAATTCCGGTAGTTCAATGTAAAGTGCAGACAAAAAGTTTGATCTAAAATTACTCCAAGATCCTATGATGAAATTTAGTTTTATGGTTATTGAATAGGTTTGGTAACGTGCCCTCTAAATTCTGACATGATTTTCAACTTCGTATAAAAAAAGGCCGCCGCGATGCCATTTTGAATTTGGCCCTCAATAATGACATAACATTTTAAAATCATCTTTGGATATGTTAGGCAGAATTGAAAATAAATGGCACTTTTTATAGGACATTTTTGTGCAAAGTTCAAAAGTGCACTTTAGGGTACCAAACTTCCGGAAACTTCATCTCAAGTTTGGAAAGGTCAATACGTTCGATATTTCACACACATAATGTTAAGGTTAATTGTTAATATGAATGACCTCGACCTACTTTCAAGGTCGCAAGGGTCAATTATATTAATATCATTAAATGACGTTTTCTTACCTTTTAAGAGTAAAATAGTTACATGTTTTGACTAACAACCTCCTGTAGAGACTTGCATTTGACTGGATTAATCGAAAACTTCCACAAAAGGCCAACTTCCGGTTTTCCATAGGGGTCAAAGTTCAAAATGTAGGGTATTTCAAAAATATTTTATATTGTTAATGCATACATTTAACACACACATACAACATTACAAATGAATGCAATAACAATTGGGATCAAACAACAGGCTAAGCCTGTATAAGTTTTGCCCCATAAGATAACCGGTATTATTATATGTTTTATAATATGGATTGATTAAAGTAGGTAATAGTTTTGAGGTATAATAATTACATGTATTAAGGAAGAGAGGAGGAAAAGCACTCACACACACAGCTGTATTGCCCACACATACCATAACACACAATCAAAAAAATAAATAAATAAATAAAGAATAATTATAATAATATAGACATTAGAACTTGCCTATGAGTATAAAACTACTTAAATTTTATAAATTTGAAAAACTTTTTGACTTTTTTAAGTATGAGCTGGTGTGGAAAAGTACTTCACGATTTAGTTCATCCGATATCCCAATGTTGCCAAATAGTAAAACATTAAGGTTAACAAATCCTAGTAAATTATATACAGAGTAAATGTGATGTCTAATATTCGAGTAAAGAGGACATTGAAAGAAAAAAACGAGCAGCATCTTCAAGATTAGCACCACACCTACAGGAACCATCTTCAATCAAATGATCTATGTAGGGTACAAATATTACGAAACGCCTTCTCAAGTTTGAAAGGACCTAGATACTTGATATCTGATATCGATGAAGGTAATATCATTGTCTATTATTGTTGTTAATACGAATGACCTTGACCTATTTTCAAGGTAACGAGTGTTAATTGTATTTATATTAGTAACTGACGCGTTCTAACTAGAGGAAAACAATACATAGTTTGGTCAACAACATTCTGTGGAGACTTGCATCTGATTGGTATATGCAAAACTTCCACAAAAGTGTAACTTACGATTTTCCTTAGGGGCAAAGTTCAAAAGTGCAATTTAGGGTCCAAAACTACCAGAAACTTCTTCTTCTCAAGTTTGGAAAGGCCTAGAGGTTCGATAATTCACACATATACTGTAAAGTATTTGTCTGTTAAGTTTGTTAATATGAATAACCTTGACCCACTTTCAAAGTCACAGGCATCAATCATGTAAAAAATTCCTAAGAATTTAAATTTGTGTTTTTAGAGGCAAAAAATTGTAAAATTGATTTACCTCCCGTATTCTTGTTGACACCTACTTTTGATAACAATGAATAATGTTTTCCAAAAACTTCTGTTTTTTTCTGTACAGTTCAAAATTAACGTTATACAGAATTATTTTGGAAGACAGTACATTCAGTACTTTGATCTCTTACTATTGATGATTACTTTTGTTTTTTCATTTCATACAGTGTCAATGTATTGCAGGCATTGCCTTTAATTACAGTCCAAAACAATTTATAGTTTTATTTGTTTCTATAAGTTTTTCAATATACCACTTATACAGGAAGTTAGGAATGTGTTGTGAGCTATAGCAAAATTAATCATTTCTCCCTCTGCACAATTGCTGTTATACGTTGTAGTTATCTCCCTTGATTACTGTTATTTTATAATAAAATAAATATAAGCATTGTTAGACCCACAGTCGACATAAGGCGCTAGGAATACTGATATCACAGACAATAAAGGTGAAGTTTTTATCATAAATGATCGATTTTACACGTATCTGAATGACACTATCGACATACACCATCGACAGTACAAAGTATTACTAGAACGAGAAAAAAATTATCCCAAATCAGACATGTGTATAATTTTAGCAAACAATTCTTTTCATAAAATTTTCAGTCAATGAATGATCAAAAGAAAATTGAACAGTTTAATGGTCCCAATGGTTGTGTTAGACAAGGATTCATACCGGATTCAACTGGGTACGATCTATATCATTACAAAAAACATCGAGGAAATTTGCTGTTGGGCTAACTGCGGTTTCGAATTAAACGATAGAAAAGCATTGGTCAGTTAGAAAATGTCCATTTCTCCCAGGGCATTGGTGTCTAGTTTACAATGTAATTCAATTTGGTGTAATTATAGTCAAATGAAGAGTTTTCTTATTTCAGTGAAATGGTATTACACATAGTTAAAGAAGAAACGAAGCGAGAACAACAATGGCGCTGTTTAGCCTTGTTCCTATTGATGACGTCATTTGCATTCCTGGCAATGATCGTGTACATGACGCTGGAGACCACGGAATCCGAACATGCACCCCAACCGTTATATGAACAGCATGGTACTGTCTACCTTGGCGAGCCGTCTGAGCCGTCTGTGTTTCATGACTTGACAGCCACTGAGATCCGTGGCCTTTTGTCTTACTTGACACAAGAGGGATCCCTCAACATTACCAGACCTCCCTTCAACACAGTACACACCAACTACCGCTACCTAGCCGAGCTGTACCTACCTAACAAAGACGATGTGTTAAGACATTTAGATGGCGATGGAAAACAGCCGTCTAGGGAGGCAGTTGTAACTATATTTCGAGGTGCAGAAAACCCACCTGACGTCATCGAAAGAATTGTTGGGCCTCTTCCAAATCCTACGTACATGAAACCAGTTCCTGGGCGACCATCATCAATTCCTTTCATGCTACGACCTATGAGCGAACTAGAATACACAAAGTCTGTTGAATATGCGCAGGATCTACTTGACACAAATCTTTCCGCTTACTTACGTGCGATTTACGGCGGGACCTTCAAAGATTGTGGCTCCGAATGTCTCATTCTGTTCTACGTGTCCTTCATGTCACCCTCTGTCAGCGGCGAGCAAAGTCGGAAATTTTGGTTGTGGTTGAGTCGGAACAAAGAAAACTATTTGTTAAACAATTTAGATTTTGCTGTTTTGATCAATAACGAAAACTCTGACTTCACTATTGAAAACCTTTGGTTCAGGGGTATAACTTATGACGGGATAGAGGACTTCAAATCTCGCGTTTTACTGAACAGGACGGCATTACCATGGCCTGACCCAGATCATGACGACTCGTTTTCGAAGGCAGAAAGACGCGGGAGACCGTTCTGGAAGGAGCCTCGCCAAAACCCTACACAGGTTGAACCAGACGGAAAGCGATACAGTGTACATTATAATCACGTGACTTATATGCGATGGAGATTCGACTTCCGAATGTCTAGTGCGCATGGACCACAACTCTACGATATCCGATACGATGGTCAACGAATTATATATGAGATTGGCTTACAGGAGTTATGTGTGCTCTATTCAGCTAACAACCCAGCTCAAATGTTTGCTGACTTTTTCGATTCTTTTGATCTCATTGGCCCGAAGGCTAGTCCTCTCGTGCCTGGGGTAGATTGTCCGTTTCACGCGACATTTATCGATGCTTCTTTCCTCACAGAGACATTCAATGAGCAGTTCACCACGCGAAATGTGTTCTGCATATTTGAACTGAATACAGGCGACCCGCATCGCCGACATTTTAATTACGAACCTCTTAGCCAGACCTCTTACGAAGGAATGGAGAGCATTATTCTCGTATTTAGGACCATCCTCACTGTCATGAATTACGATTACGTAATTGATTTCCGCTTTTTCCAAAATGGTGCTTTCCAAGTACGTGTTCTTTCTACAGGTTTTATTTCAACTAGTTATTACAGACCGGAAGAGAACCCGTATGGATATCGCCTACACGACTTTATTACCGGAAATCTTCACCATCACCTGATACATTTCAAAGTCGATCTTGATGTTATGGGTACGAGTAATCGCTTCGCAACTCTTGATATTGAACCAGACACTGTAGACAATACTTGGGGTAAGGTCGGTGGACAAAAATATCATCAAACCAAATTCAGTCATAACGTGAAACCAGATGAAATGAGCGCTGCCTACAAGTTTGATTTTAATTCACCAAAATATCTTACGTTTTATAATAATAGATCAACAAATAAATATGGCGTACACAGATCGTATCGTGTGTTACCACGAGGAATGACAAAGTCATTGCTGGCGGAAGGATATGATAATGAACCTTCTATGTCTTGGTCGCGATATCAGATGGCGGTGACACGGCGGAAGGAAACGGAGACATTCAGCAGCTCGCAGTATGCTTCTCTGGACGCTTCAAACCCAGTTGTAAGGTTCCAAGACTTTCTAGACGACAACGAATCCATATTGGACGAGGTTAGTACTTTTGTTATCTATTTATTCATGTCAAATCTGTAACATAAAACTGTCTTATAACTAAAAGTAGAATTTCTTTGCGGACATACCAGATAGTATAGAATGATACACCCGAAAACAACGCTATCCCTTGTCGCTCGTTTTTATTTTTAGATAGGTTAGTGTTGTACATTTACACCGCGGGCTTCCTTCCCTGATCCCTTACAACAACTGCTTTTATCATTTAATAAAGAATGAGTGATGGGATATCAATAATTCGATCTTGTTTATCAATTAGGTATAAAAAATCAACATGCAAGCTTTGTCGACTCTTACCGTGTAGATATATCATAAATCCATTGATCAATATATTGTTCGTGTATTTCCATGTTATTTAAGGAATATATCATACAAGCTTTTAAAGTAAATGTTTCTTTAGAGAATACCTGGTACTGCGATCACATTTTTTCCCAAAAATGACATAAAATGTTATGTCTCGTAGATCTCGTGAACAAATAATTTCATTATTATTATATTTGATATTGAAGCAGATATCTGCGTTCTTTACACTTCTAGAAAGGAGAGTATCTAATCTTAATTTCTCTGCATCCTCAGGATCTTGTGGCGTGGCTGACACTAGGAATGCATCACATTCCCCACACCGAGGACCTTCCGGTCACACCAACTCCAGGAATGGATGTAGGATTCCTCCTCCTTCCTTTCAATTATTTCGCAGAAGACGCCACCATAGCTTCGAGAAACGCTATCAGGATTGAGCCAAGAAACAGAAAAAATCTTAAGGACGGTCTCAGAGTAGAGCGGTATGGTGTGAAGCATGACATCCAATGTGGTTCCACAGATAACTCGTTCTGGCAAGATATCGAAAATGACCCCTCGATTCTTTTTGACAGCGAGGAAGAGTGATGAAGTTGCTTAAAAAAAAGAAGAAAATTGATACTTGCCAGAGTCTAATGGTTTATTCATTCAGAAATAATCGAACATACAGAGATAAAGACTTAAGATTCGAACGATTTTAAAAAGTTATTGAAAAGTCTCTGTTCTAAATACGATGACTTGGGTAAAGTGTTAACGTTTCAAACGTCACTCAAATCATCCTTAATATTTGATAAATGTTGTAAGTATATTTACAATAGCAGATGACATTCTAACCATTCACACATCAAACAAATGACTAAAAATTAACCAAAAAAATGTCGTGATGTTCGTTCGTGCACCCCTGTCGTCCACGAAGCTTACTCTTCCGAGATATATGGTCTTTGTACTTTTTCAGGAGCCTCCGTGCAAATCTTTCTTGTTCATATTTTGCCCCAGTTTTATTGAATTTGAGTTTGATTATATTGATGTGTTGGTATTGTCTTGTTCTGTTCTTTTTTACGCACACATACAATTGTCATACGAACGAACTTTTCATTTCATAAACGATCGATGGCAAAGCTAATGCTAATACCTGAACGGTGCAGACAGTGACGATGTTTACAACAAAATATGTGTGTATGTAGACAATTTTACATTTATATGTTCATAACCTAAACAGGAAATATTGTTAACTATATACTGTCCTCCTGTGTAGAGCTGATGTATATAAACAGAAGTTTTAGGAAAGACGTGGCATTTAAGGGATTAATTTGACAAAACGACCAGATACACCTCTGCATAGCCCAATAAATCCTTCTTATTAACATTCTTTCTACATATTGCTGATTGACTGCTCTTGAATTTGTTTTCTGGAGAAAAAAAAACCTGTTAGCAATGTGAAAGATTAACTACACATTTGAGTTTATTACAACTGTATGTATATACCAAGTAAATTTCGTAGTTGTCACTCTGGAACACGGATATTGCATACATACATATGTAGCTAGGTAACTATTATTACGTATGAACGTATAATATACGCACACACAAAATATACCCAAAGCATTATATTGTATGACACTACATTGTATTTCAGTTTTCTCGATTTCATCCGGATTGATGTCTTTGTAAACTAGCTCTCGGATGGTGACAGATGTACATTATAGCCTAAAGCACCAGGGCCGCCGTCCGATTTAACTTAATCTCACCTGTGCTGTAAAGTCCATAATGTGTATTGACTAACCCAGCTGACAAGATGGTGGATATCAAAGTTGTGAAGATCCTGGTGATATTTCTACTGTTTGTGTTTACATTGGCTCTCGGACTGTTACCGTTACTGATTATTCGTTGCATAAAGACACAAAGTGCACGAGGAGTTAGTTTCCACAAACAGATTTGTTACAAACGGACGTTAAGTATACTGAGTTGTTTCCCAGCTGGTGTTTTCTTAGCCACATGTCTGTTGGAGCTTCTCCCCGGTGTCAGGAGAGATCTGGAAATGGCACTGGATGCTCTAAAATTGAAAACGGAATTTCCTGTTGCGGAGTTTTCTATGGTATTGGGGTTCTTTACTGTACTAACAATTGAACAAACAGTTCTCATTCTAAAGGAAAGAAAATCAGAGCGTATTCAAATGAATCATCGCCATTACGATGACAGCAAGACACCACTTTTGAATAATGAAACCACAGACATTCATGTCGAAAACAGCGGATTCAATAAGTCCGTCGTAACTAACCATGCAACCTCCGACACAAGTGACGAGCTCAACCGAGTTTCTAGGTCTCAAGCTTTGGACGGAGAAAAGAGCAACGATAGTCATAAAATTTATCTTCATCAACATTCCAGTCTCAGACCTGTGCTTTTGTTGCTTGCAATATCAATCCACTCATTGTTTGAAGGACTAGCAGTTGGTCTTCAAAAGAAAACAGAATCTGTTCTGGATATATTCACAGCCCTTCTACTACATAAAGGAATTCTCAGCTTCAGTTTGGGCATGAGTCTGGTTCAGAGTAAACTTTCTAAGCCTGCAATAATAAGATCTTTATTCATATTTGGATTATCTGCTCCAGTTGGAATTGGGATTGGAATCGGTATAATAGATCTGTGGGATTCAGAAGTTTCAACATTTGTGCAAGGCATTCTCCAGGGTATAGCCTGTGGAACATTTCTTTATATAACATTCTTTGAAGTTCTTCCTCGTGAATTCAGTTCGTGTGACATAAGATTAGTGAAAGTGATCTTTTTAATGGTAGGATTTTTTATAGTGACAGTAATAATGTTTCTGGAACTCGGGTATGGTTAAAACGTACCCATTAAGTGTAGGTACTGCAAATTTCGGAGCGTTACAACACTTAAACTCCACTTTTGCACATAATTTTTTTTTTTGTTTTTTTGTTATTAATATATTTTTGAACAATGTATGATTTTGCCTTTGTTTTTTATAACTTGTCATATCACCAATATTTAGGTTATTAGATGAGGCAGAAATGTACCTAAATCAATTCAAATGGATATATTCCTCTGAAAATTTATGTAATATCAGACAAAAGCAATTGATAGGAAATCACTAATATTGCATTATGAATAAACATATAACTAAATGAACAAAATTTTTTTAAAGAAATTTATCAATATCTATTTCACATATAGCATTCTACTTTCACGTGCCGTGCAATATTTCACATGCAGTGATAGGTTGAGTTTACCAACCTACGGTAAGAAAAAACATCGACCGGTGTTGAAGTCCGAGTTTGATTTAATTTTTACTTTGATAACCAAATCGAGGGTAATATGAAAACATGTCTGCTATTTTCACCGATGTTTTTCCATGTAGTATGAAATCAACGCTGCTGTCTATTTTAAAGAACAGACTTCAAAGATACTTTGTTCATCTTTTTTTGAAGACCGGTCTCTTAACTCAACTTATAATAGATGACGACCAAACATACGAAAAACATATTTGTGAACAGGTTAACAAAGCAAATCATATCATTGGAGTATTGTGGAAAATAATGGAATCCATAAATGTACGTAGTTTTAAACTGTTAACCACAGACACATTTCATATTGGATACTCTCATTTAGAAAAAAAAATGTAGCAACAATTGAGAATGTTCAACGTCAAGCAACGAAACAAGTACCCGGACTTTGTAATCTATCGTATACGGGGCATCTACAACGTCTAAGATTACCAACATTAACATATAGAATATTACGTGTAAACATGGTAGAGGGTTAGGTCATTTCCGGGAAATGTGCTGCAAGAAGTCGCAAACCTGTCTTCCCTAAAGGAAGGGTTAAAACCTCGTGGGCATATAAATGGTTCACGAAGAGAAACGTTAATGCGAGAAAAGTTTTTAAAAAAAATTGAGCATGAACTGGAGGAACATTGGGAATTTTTTTTTTTTTTTTTTTACAAATTTTCGATGTTATGAACTGACAATAAAAGATTATTAATTATCATACTATATATACTTATCATTGTAAGAATAAATCTCCAGTCGATCAGATAGTGGTAAAGATATCATTATGTGATAGCATATTAAATGATACTATCAATTCCCTTGGTACAACACTATGTATATATACGTCAACTACATTCCACATCAACTCTCAAACCATCCATGAAATGATGAAAGCGATAGCCAAACACCAGAGTCAATCGGCTGATAAACACGGCTACTAACCAAGTAAACTTTACTATGATATGTTTGTGATTTTTGATGAAGTCACTAGCATCGTGATTATTTCGTGTCAATATTTGCCAACTGATAAAATGATGTATCTATATTGTATAATTTGTTATTCTTAAACTATATTCGAAACTCACATCGTGTCTTCGTCATTCATATTGTAGACATTTAAAATCAGGATATCAAAATATGCTACATGAGTTACAATGATACAATATGGATAAACAAAATACAAAAAAGATATAATGTGGATTGTAAATATCTAATTACACAAAAAGAATATCGCAATATATAATGTGTTATAATATGAACTACAAACATATAATAAAAATATCGACATATTTAAATACGAATGAAAGTATATACTCTGACACGCCATATTTGAAAGTAACATTTTTTGTTACCTGTTTCCTTTTAAGAATTCTACAGTTAAAAATAACAATTTTTGATAAAGCATTTCTGCTTGGATGAGCGAAAGCAGTGGCCTAGTATTGATGCAATGTATACCGTAGGCGACTAGCTAATGTACCGTGGATAGGTTCAGACTTGTTTACCTAGATTAACTCTGTCCCATCAGATACAAGCCGTGCTCAACTTGCTCGTCTTTAATGGGACGGGACAGTCGTGAGGACTCTGTACCAGACTGTACCTGCATGATATTTGAAACACTGTAAACACAAATTTGTAATACGTAACCGACAGTATACGCCATCTTGTGACTGAGGGATTCTTTCTATAAATACACTATAAATAGACGCGCAGATGTTAAGCCATTAGTTATTTTCCTATGTCAATCGTTACTGTTATATACAGTTGGCTATTAAGCGCACCATCATATTACATTGGCTAGGATATGTTATATTTTCTATTCAGTATTATTCAAGAATCACGTGAGTTCAAGTTTAGCATACTGTGGACTATATTAATATTTCATCATATCTTATAAGGTTTTAATTAAGTAGGATCTGAATGCATTTTCTGGTTTTGTAAATTAGAATAGTCTTTAAACAATATAACATCGAGGTTGTTATGTAACATGTATGTAGCAATTTTCCCCAGTCTTAGTCTCACAGACAACAGACTGGATTATCCGCCTTGGTACAACTCTTCTTCGCTAGACAGCGCTTAATGTATTTTCAAAGGGATGTCAGCTGAGGATAGAAAAACAAATCTTCGGTAGGCAATCCAGTCTATACCAACTTTCTTCTTGTCGGACAAGGTGTCGTCGTAACATCTCCGTCAGCGTTTCACAGGGTTTTTGACGTTAAATGGTTTTTCCTCCGTCTGGACTGGAAATGTGAACTGTTTTGTCAACCGCTCCTACTGTACTGTGATTTCTTCGGCTTAAACGTCATCAGAGCCCAGGTCACGACATCATCGAATGCAGATAGTATCCACTGTTAGTCAGGTCATCTATGATTCTCTGAATTCATTTTCTTCCCTCTAGTGTCATTCTCAGCATCTTTCATGATGATGTTCATGTCGATCACAAACAAGGTAGGTGACACTGCGCAATCTGTCATTGTTTTCTATATATTAAGTCCTTTCATGCTGTGGTGAAGTTGTTAGCGATGAACCTGAGTTGTATACTATCAAAGTACTTCTTCACGATGCCTGGTGACATAGTTAGGAATGTGATAATGTTGCAAAGGTACCTGAATCAGCTTTAGGGATGCCTCCATTTGCATTTGCTAATTTAGCCAACCCAATGTCAATAAGCTGCTTGGGTAGTCAGGTAACACAGTGGTTCGACGAACATCTCACATTCAAAGTAGCAATCCAGGAATTATCCAAGTCAGCAAGTAGAGCCTTAGGTGCCCTCACTACAAAATTCCTGAGTGTAGGAGGTATGGAATATAAGCTATCTACAAAACTTTTTGAATCACTTGTACAACCTATCTTATTATATGGAGCTGCAGTATGGGGACATACGGAGCATCGGAAATTGAACAATATTCAAACGCGTGCCTTGAAACTCTTCTTATGTGTCGGTAAACGTGCGTCAAACTTGGGTTCGTTAGGAGATATGGGATGGACTTCATTAGTAACAAAACAAAGGATGGAGGTTTTTCGTCAATACATTCGTTTACAAAATGTGGACGCAGATCGTCTTCTTCACAAAATTCATAAATGGTCTATAAGAAGAGGAAACTCGTGGGAAGCTAGAGTTAAACGCCTAGCATCAAAACTTAACATTAGAGATATCATAAACAGTGCTAATAGTAATAGGTGGAAAATGTGTAACATCGGGCGAAGCCTTCGTATCCACGATGAAGCTGTGTGGTTCACAAAACTCTGGACAGATAAAGGAATAAATGGCAACAAACTGCGAACGTATCGACGTTTTAAGAAAGATATGATACCCGATAGTTACGTGACGTCTATTATTCCAAGAAATTATCGTCGTGCATTGTTGCGTCTTCGTTTGGGTTGTCTCCCCCTTTCCATAGCGACAGGTCGATATACAAACATTCCTCTAGATGACCGCCTGTGTAAACATTGTGAGAGTGGTCAAGTCGAAGACGAGATAAACATTTTCTATGTGACTGTCCAGTTTTTAATGAAATTAGAACTGATCTTTTTAATGAAGCCATTTACAGCCATATTACCAAACTTTCTTTTATTAACTTCGTGTGAAAAATTTGTAAGGTTAATGGAGATGCCGGATATTCAGTTTTTATTAGCCAAAACAGTCTTTTTAATGCTTAAGTACCGGCGCTCACTTGTGTAGGAAATATCAGTATATTTTGACTAGGTCTACATGTAATTATCAATACAGGACATTATAATCGTAACTTTTATTGTTTTAACCATAACCTTAATGCTTAACTATATAGTGTCTCATAAGCCGATATCGGCTGGGTATCACTTTTATTAATAACTGTTCAATGTTGTTTTTATTACTATGTACTGTGATATGTGACACTCAAATAAAATATATTGATTGATTGATTGATTGATTTGGTAACACATTTGCCATTCACCTAGCCGCCCGGGGTTCGATACCTGGAATGGGTGCGATAAAGGTATTGGGTCACCTGTCCGAACAGTTGGGTTTACCTCAGATACACTGGTTTCCTCTCACAGTAAGACCCGTCGCGCGCTTCCACCTGGGCCAACACTAGTGATTAATATAAGTTGGAAAAACTTGCTTCGCAATTGTTGTAAAATAAATAAAGTTTATAAAAAGATATCATTTTTAAAATGTCGCTCCTATCAGATGTAATGATATCAATCATTCGAATTACTTTTATCACTAAATTAAACTAATGATATCACTAAACAGAATTAATAATATCTATAATTAGGTGTATTTAACGATGAAAATAATTAATTAAATCAAATCATTAATTCGAAATAGTGCTAACCCTAAATGAATTAATGATATCAATTAGTCTATTAAGTGATATTTGTTATACTTATTCTAAATACACAAAACCAGACTCCGATTGAAAATGAAATATGCCATTTATTAAAAATAACAAAGCACGACAGAAAATATGACAATTACAATTTCCTGTTCATTAACAGTACAGCAATCAACTGTACTTAAATGTTATCCAATCAGAGATATCCTAAAAAATATACCCAGGACTACAAAGATGGGGATCAAATTACGCCATCATAAAGCCAAGCAATTCCATGAATGTTGGAATAAATTGCTAACTATATCCCCCTGCTAACCCTAAATGAATTAATGATATCAATTATTCGATTAAGTGATAATTTATTTATCAGAGAATGTAGCCAACTTCTCAAATACAACCATTAATTTTCTTCGCCTCACTTTACTATAAAAGGGTGATAGAGATCCTACTTTCTTCATTTAAGAGCAGAAAATTAAAAAAAGAAGTTGTGTATCAGTTCAATAAGCTGAAAAAATTATTACCATTATAGTTCTTGAAATTGAAAAGTTGTACTTTTCATGTATTGATTAGAACAATAGAAGAGTATTAAATTGTAAATAATTACATTATATGTTTTAAATAATAAAATGTTACAATTTATGAAATCTATAATGTTTTCTTTTCCTTATCCTGTTGTTTTATTCTTCCTCAAATTCCAAAGTTGAAATGAATACAGCAACCCGACGACGGTGAAAAAATGTTCGGTAAAAGCGTTCGTCTCGTCGTCCAGGGTTAAAGCAGTTGCGCCCCTTTGTCCAGAGTTATGTATGAGATAATGTTTAATGTTAACAGGACAAATACAAGGTGTATATTATATAGCATAACATACAGACTACCAAACAAGGGTAGATGATAGGTGATTCAAAATTTTTAAAGAAATGAAGGAAGTTATTCAACATTCGTTTATTTTTTGTTAGTTTCAGATATTGGGACTGTTTGATCCTACACAGGTCTCCGAGTATCCTTCAAAATAACATAAATATACCGACAAAATGGTATCTACCTTAAACTACCATTATATGTTTTAAATGATTTTTACTCTACACGTTAAATGGTAATTAGGGTCACAAGGGTTAGTGGTATTTTCTAATATCATGTTGAAGTGTTAGTCACTAAACGTTGTATAAAATTGTAGAAACGTACCCGCAAATTTAGGTTAAACCCTTTTACGTGTAGTTTGTTCTATTTATAAAACAACTATTGCCGGTCAATACCAAAACTTCCTTTAATGTGTTTTGAAAAATAAACAGATACCCTGAGATATCGCCAAGTTAATCTTTAGTGAGTAACACGGAGCAGTACATGACTCGTTGATAAGTAGCACGTGAGAGTGACTGATCTGGGTTATCATTCACGTTTGTGTAGTATTTAATCTTAATATGTTCATTTAACTATATCGAAGTTAATTGTTTATGTTTATCGGTACCGCTTTTCATTGATTAATATGAGTTTGCTGATCCTTGAGAAGTGCAAATAATATTTTTCCTCGTTGTAGTACCCAAGTATTAACAGTCGTGGGGCATTTCCGTGCACTAAATAATACATTTCCGTGCACGAAATAATACAACTATTGCGACTCGTGACTCGCAGTTAATTTAACAACTGTTTACGTCCATCGCTCAAATAAACTACAGTGCAGCCTGATGTCTAGAAATTATAAAAGAAAATGTTTTTTTTAGATGTTGTGTAACATAATTACGAGGTCGACCACTCACCGTATAGCTAGTATTTTTCCACAGGTAAAAAAAAATCGTGATTTGTTTTTAAGACGAACGAATTAGTATTTCGTAATTTGGATGGAAAATGACATCTCACACAAACGTGTCTCATTATTTAATGGATTTTATATTCGCGGTCATATTGATGTACCGCGAAAAATCGTAAATCTCACCCCTGTGAAAATAACCGTCTAAACGATATTTCAAGTCCGTCGGCTTGTCATTTAGTCAATGTTACGACACTTAGGTAACATGCCGATGTGTATCAATTCTATTTATAATATATACAAGTCTTGTGTAATCTTTAAGAAGAAGAAAAAAAACCCTGTTGAATCATCCATCTTGGCACGCAGCCAATACTGCAACACTGTAGTCTTCCATTACGCTTCAGCGTGTTATATCTCGGGAAAAAAATTCCAAAATGTCGATCATCAGGATACTGAAAGTAATAGTATATATATACGAAGGGATGTCTTTGTTATGCTTTGTCACGCTTGACGTTCTTTCTAAACATTTAACAACTCTTCCAACATAACGAAAAAGTTGATAAAACCAGCATTGTATTGAATACCCGACTCGTATTCACTGTTTGTGTACAATCTGGAGTTGCACGAGTATTATGTTTACGTCAAATAAATCTCCAGTTGCTCCCAAAACTCGAATTTTATGTGATTTTATCCGAGGCTAACCGACGATTTTATGCAGATGTTGATATTTTACATCGGTTATTGATATTGTGAGGAAACTGCAGTACCTGGGGAAAACCCACGTGGTCAGGCAGGTGACCCCGTACCTTTTCACATCCGTCCCGGGAATCGAACCCTAGACGACTATGTGAACGGCGAGAACATTACTATTCAAAATTTCAATATAATACTGTTGATCATAACCGAACCTTATCCTTAACAAAACTGTATTGTTCGTAATATCATAAATTCATTGAAATTATCATCTTCAATAGAAATGTATCAAATATTCAATTCTCTTATAAAAAAATCAAATCTACAAAAAGTATACCCATCGCATTGTAGCCGACCGTTACGTAAAACAATCTACATTACATGTATGAGGACTCGTGGACTGGAGTTCGATACCCCTACAGAACAAAGATAAGAGGTCTGTCGGTCACTCATTTCACGATAAGACCACTGCCCAATACCCATAACAGCCTTCTGTTTGGGTACATTTGTAGTTTATTGTTTATAAAAGTCTTCTGGTTGTATGTGTATTTGTTGTCTGTTGCATTTCATGAAAGGCTGTATCGTTACCTCCAGTGAAGCACAGCTTTGGACAAATAATCGTTGCTTTATTAAGATTTCATTAAAGTTTTATTCAGATATCATATTTTTTAATCATAAAGTTTCATCAAAATAGAAATTATAAATGATCTGGCAGTTACATGTGTATGATGACAAATCCAAAATCATGATCACGAGGCCATAAGATAAACATTAAAGATAAACAACAGGAGATAAATCAAATTTATTCGATAAAATATGTTACAGTCTTGCCGTTCCAGAGTAACTAGTGCGCTAAAACCGTCGTATATGAATCAGAAATACTGTTTGATCAGTATACCACTGACATTAACAAACATATTCTTCCGTCCTCACTGTCGTTCGGAAAGAAGATAAGGGTATCATAAGATTAATAATCAGTCACGTTCTGATTTCCTCTCTAATCCGATATTCTATTTAAGTTTGTGAATTGATAAAAAGTCGTTTTTATGTGCATTTAATTTTTGTATTCGGTAGTGTCCTAGTTAAGTTGTAATAAAAGACAATGAATAAATTGAATTTTATTACAGAATATGATTTTAAAATAAGGTCTTGAGCAAGCTTCGAGAGCGGAATAGAATCGGAATAGTTTAGCATATTTAAATAAGCAGTAATTGGGTTCCTAGGTAACCATCTAATTGATTTATAATTTATTACGTAACATAAGTATGACTTGTCCTGAAAAGGCATTTGTGTTTGGAAAAAATGACCAAAATGTGAATGGCTAGCCCACTGGACTTTCAAAAGGCAACATGGGTTAACATTTTCGGTATAATCAAAAATATTTATTGTGCCACTTTCCCTGCCATGTAGATTTAATAAATGAAATGTACTCTTAATGTTTTTTAATTTACATTTCTTGTTTCATGATTGTCATCATGTTGTTTTATTTATTCATAGATTGGATTTCAAATGTTTTACATTGATTTGTAAGCTAAACAATGTATGTTACAAACCTAATTGTTAAAAAATACGACAGTCAAATATACATACATAATAATGTATATGTAAATTTGTCATTCAGAATTTACAAAAAAATCTTATTTATCGGAAGAAAAAACGCTTATACACTGGTCAACTGACGGATCAGCGGTCCGTTTTTATCTGGTTGTTAGTAAGAACAATTTACACAGTACATCATTTGGTTTAAACAGTATTTGTTGGTTGAAATAAGCATATGAATCAGTACATAAAGACACATTGTTTATTTTGCCTTTTAGTTTCGATAACATTTAATGTATTTATGACTAAACGTCATGCTATAGATTATCAACTACAATCGTGATCACAAAATCACGCGCATTCACGTATACCATCGGTCTGTGATAACAATTTTTATATATCTGGTCATGAGCTAGCCACTTCAACGATACTTGATATTGGAAAACAAAACACACTGTTGCACTGTTGCTTTATTCAGGGTAAAGAGTGGTTGAATGATCATCATTTGCGATGTAGTTTTCGCTGCAGTTGTGTATTTCATCACGATTTTGGAAACTGAACGTCGCTGACTTTGTGTTTGAGGTGTATATAATTTTGCCCGTGCATTCATACTGACTGAGCTATTTTTAGATAAAAAGGTGCGTTACACATTAGTCACCTCAGTCGTCGGTCTTCCCACTCATGTTCACCTGTGTGTTGTTAGAAATCACTGACGCGTACGACACGTGCTTGCCAGAACTTTTTTTAATCCTACCCGTACATATGTTTATGTTATTCAGTGTTAATTGTTGTTTATTTAACTTAAAGTCTTACGCCTCATGAGCATTCATAACCACATATGATGAGGAGAAGGCGGTCACTTTTAAATAATGGATAACCGTTTTAAGTATAACTGTATATTTTATGTATATAATCGTGTCTCATAAGCCAATTAATGGCTGGGCATTTGTACTCTGATGGAATATATTT